AACGAATATAAATGTCCAACAATGACTCCATATATAATAAAGATGATCGTTGGTAAACGTAACACAATTAATATTAATATTAATATAACAATACGTTTTATAACAGTTAAGTCTCTTAAATTTCGTTGTCTCTGTTTTGTAACTATAATAAGTGCTGTTGGATGTGCAGAACTACGTATAAATTTCGTTATCCATGCATAGATTAATGAAATTGATACTAATGGAATAAGATACAGAATAATAATGAGATATATTGATGCACCTATATCTGTATATGGAACAAGACAATAAGTTTCTGTTGGTAAATGAATGTACCATTTGAGAACTATGGTTGGTATAAATAAGCCAATAGAGATTAACCATTGATCTATAATCAATATATTATATAAGGAAAAAGACAGAAGAGACTTTTTCTTATGAAATACAACTCGACATAAACGAAATAATGCTTGTAAACAATAACTATGATAGATAGAACATTCAAATATATCATAGAATAATCCCCATCCATAACAAATGTAAAGATTATACATTAAGAATCCTGTTGTTAAATTCGAAATAGTCATAATAAATTCTGTAATAGTTGTTAGAAATGCAGCTAAGCATGTATTACATGTTAATACTAATGATATATCATTTAGTTCTTCATGATGAATGAAAATAATAATGAAAATTAATAAAAAAATAATCATAGCAATAATGACTAGACATAGATTGAGAATTCCAAGAAATGTTGCTGTTGAAAACATTTGATCTCACAAGGTTAATTGAATGACTTTAATAATCAAATGAGCCTATAAAAAATTAACCGTTGAATAGAATTAGAATGTATATAGAATTTTTCTTAAGTGTCTCGTATAATTATGTTTATGTAACGAGTCTCAAAGGAGAGAGAAAAATCTTTAAAAAAGAAAGATTGTTATATTTTATACTCGGTAACATAGAAAGACTAACGTAAGATAATCTATGTGAGCTGAATCAACTTATGACATGGACGCCTATAGGAAACAGCAAAATGAAGAAGTTTCCTTATTTTTATAGTACAATTATATTACTCATTATAAAGTACTTCATTTTTAATTGGTTTTATTGAAGAGAAAATCATATAAAATAAAATGAGTTTGTTCGCAGTCACATTTCTACATATGACAAAAAGCTTTTTTTCAATCAACCTTGATAAAAGATTATCGGAATTGAGGAGTCTGTATTTGCAATCATTTTTTTTCAAAATTTTGAAATTTTAGTCTTTTTTTTGTTGAAAACAAAACAATTAATGTAAATAATAATTGGTACTGCATTCTCGAATGATAGATTGATTGGTGCTGAACTTTTTTTTTTGAAGTAGAACAAAGATGTCATAACTAATGAACTATGATTATAAATCAATTGCGTTATTTTGGTACAATATAGAATAAATGACAGCGGAAGCAGATGTGATTATACTTGTGTGATAATTAGAGACCTGCATCGAACTCCGAAATCCGATTCCAACTCCGACTCCAACGGAGTCGGAATCGGAATCGGTGCAAATTATAGAAACTCTGAAAACGCTATTGCATTCTTTTCTTGTGCAGCATTTTTTTAAAAATCGTAACTTTTTGTTAACAAGAACTTTTAATCCAATAGCTAAGTAACATCAAATATAAAAATACAAAAAAAAAAAAACAAAAAACATCTACACCAGATTATCTCTTACAACTGATGATTGCGAAAAAAGATCAGTACCATTCAATAGCTCCACTTTCGTCATTAGATATATTTTCATCTTCTTCACGTGCTTTTTTAACTACTATTTCACTTTAATCTCCTGACATAAGTGACACTGGATCAAAATTTGATCCTTTCGTTGATGTCTTTTTGGATTGATGAAAGTTTTTCAATAAAACAAAGTTTTTTTAAAAGAAACATTAGCTAATTAAGCTTTTCATCATCAAAATTTGTTCTACGTTCGCCGACACTTTGTTTTCAATGATGAGAAAAGGTCTTCAATCGTAGTGTTTGTAGCCGATATTGCAAAGATTTTCCTAGCAATTGAAGATAAAGTTGAAAATAAACTCTGTAGTTTATGCCAAAAATCCAAAACGTCAATATCTTCTTCATCATCATTATTAGCAAAGTGGAAATCTTGATTTAAATAGAAAAAAAATTCGGAGTTTTTTTCGGAGTCGGACTCGGAATCGGAATTGAAAAAAACTTTAAAAACGGAGTCAGAGTCGGAAGCTTAAAAAATTTTCGGAGTCGGAGTCGGAGTCAAAATAAAACCTGACTCCGCAGGTCGCTAGTGATAATTTGATCAAAGTAATTGTGTGACATATGAAAGAAAAGAGAATGTCATCAGATAATGATCGCCTTGTCTTGAAGAATTATATGGTAACAATGTCGAGTAGATGATGTATGAAATCGATGTAATTATTATATTATATGCTTAGATTAATGTGGATGCATAATATGTATGTTGTTCTTGAGACGTTCACTCATCATACAAACATCCAACAGTTTTGAACACAAGTTTTAATGAAGAGAAAACAAAATGCTTTTTCTATGTGTTTTCTAGAGTTAAACCTTGATAAATAATGAGCATGTCGATGTGATTGCTAATAAATATCTCTTGAAATAACTGTAATTGAATGCATTTTTGTTTTTTTTTTTGAGATTTTCGAAAAGTGATCTAAATACAGATAATCATGTAACAAAGAAATGATCAATAAAGTTTAGGTTTATATTTTTCTAATTGTATAAGTAATCAGAGATGTGCGGCAAAAAACAAGATGGTCAGGAGCTGTAAGGAGTTATTTTTCAGTGGAGTTGTTGAACATTGTTTTTCCATTTTACGATCTATTTGTTCAATAATATATACTATTTTCACTGGGAATAACTGAAAGCTTTCTAAAAGTAGAGACGGACGCACCCCTCTTGGAACTATATCGGCGGCACATCCCTGTAAGTAATTATAGAACTTTATAGTTCAACATCAAAGTGAACCATTATTGATGTTCCTGAATAGAATTTTTTTTTCTTTTTGACAATTGTTTCACATTGCTCGTTCTCAAATCTAATCTATTTAAGTCATCCTTCATTATTTTTTTTAGAGAATATCTATTCTATTTTATTTTTATTACCAAGAATTGACATTTATTATCGTGAAAAAAACGTCAACGAAAGATTTATCATGCAACAGAATTAAGAAGCATGAGAAATAGAAGAATATCAAATGACAATTAATAATAATCGAGCTGTCTATCCTTTTCTATCGATTTCAGAAAATTGAAGTTATTAAATATAATAATGTGTGTAGACACAAACAAATATTTAAAATAAACAGCTTTTTTTTTCTTCTAATTTGTTCGTAGGTATTCTTGTAAAGCAAGAAAAGAGTTTATTATGAATGATATTTAGTAAAATTTCGCTTGAATATTGAAAGTTTTTCTTGAAACAGACAATAGTAAAACAACTATTCGATAGAGAAATTCTATCATTTCATATTTAAGAGTCATTCTATTTATTCATAGATTGTCACTGATCACGATTTTTTGTACAACATGAAATGAAGACTTCTCTTATTACAACTCTGAACCATATTAACTTTTACATCTCTATTTATGGTGAAACGACCGAATATTTGTTCAGTACGATAGGTAATGCATTGATGGTAATAGGATTCAGTCAAACTCTATTATGTTATACTAGTTTGAAATCGAGTTTAATCAAATTCACTAGTATGAATACTAGTGTGTAACGTTAAACAGATACCACATTTGATAAAAACTTCTTGTGTCATTTATACAATGAACTTCTTAATATGTCAGTTAATGCTATTATGTCGATTTTATTATTGATCACTATCGATACGTATAATGGATTAGTAATTGAAATCATTGGACCTATATTTTTGAAAAATACGTTATTTTGTCGTATATTTCGACTGTTTTTCCTGTTTTACCTATATTATATCGAAGAAGAAAAAGAAGAGAGCAGGAAAATATTGAAGAACCTCTGAATCGTGTGTTATGCATAATCGTCAGATGTTGCACAACACATATATTTAATGTATTGTCAAATGTTTTTAATAATCGTGCGTATTCTAATAGCAGCTATTTAAAATAGTCAATATATCTGTTTCTCTTACTAGGCAGATTGCCTGAAGAATTGTTTAATGCTATAAATATGAAATAATCAAAACAACACAAAAAAACCTAATGTTTACAAAATGATCATGTATACTTTGGAACTTTTTAATGGCGTTAAATATACGTGTACGTATATATTTATATGTTTATGATGAATATTAGTTGATGCGGGTGGGTGTGGGTGTGTGGGTGTGGGTGTGGGTATGGGTGGGTGTGGATGTGGATGTGGGTGTGGGTGTGGGTGCGGGTGTGGGTATGGGTGTGGATGTGAGTGTGGGTGAGGGTGTCACATGCCAGAAACATCCACACCCACCCCCCACACCCACACATCCACCCACACTCATACCCACCCACACCCACACCCACACCCACACACCCACACACCCACACCCACACCCACACACCCACACACCCACACCCCACACACCCACACCCACACACCCACATAATAACAATAGGAATTTGAAGAAAATTTCGAAGATAACACTTCATATCGTTTTTAACATAGAAGACAAACATAAATTTTATGTAATAGTTAAAAGTGCTATCATTTCTACCATGTTGATGAACTTGATCTTCAAGAATAAAAACTTAGTAGTCTCCTCTTCAAAAAAAAAACCAAAACTTTTGATTAAACTTACTTAGTAATGGAACTAAATGAATTTGTTAAGTAATCAAAACTTTTGGAATACTCTGTATAAAATTGTGTTCTCTTATCCTTCTCTACTATTCTACGTCAACAACGTAATTTTGAATTAACATTTCAAAAAAAAAATTGATTGTTGAATTTCCCTAAATGAAGAAAAATCAAATCAATATAAATATGAATGTATGGAAATAATGATATGAATATTGAATATTGAATATTGAATAGCATTATCAGTTCTACTTGTATCTTTCAAAAGAGACCCATTTCAGCAATACTATCTCTTCAATCAAAATTTTTTTTTTATCTCGACACTCATATAGAACACAGCAATCTTTAAAAGAGAGCATTCTATCAATAGATAAATTAATCATTATGATTTTTTTAATTCAAAAACTATATTAAATAAATATGTTTATTAATAAATTACATTTTTTTTTCTTCATAAATTATACATTACAATTTAATCACAAACAAACAACAAAAAATCTGACAAAAAAAAATATATATATATATAAATTAGGCATCGTCTATAACTTTTAATCAATAATATGAAGATACATCTAACCATCATGTACCTTTTGATTAACTATTGGAAGGTTTTCAATTTCATTTTTAATATTTTGAAATTCTGATGCGTATTTCAAGTTATTAATTAATTTTAATAATTTTGCATAACCGTTATTGTTCTTCTTTATATCAGACCAAAATTCATATAATCTGTTTAATTTATCTACAACGTTTAATGATTCTTCTCTAATTAAATTTATTTTATTTTCGATCGTAGAATCTGTCATAAACATAATCACATTTAATGCACATTCAAGATCAAAAGTACGTTCATATTCATAATATTCATTAATTCCTATATTAAATGATAAATTTGAATAAAATTTTAGAAATTTTAGACCAGCATATGAAATTGTTCCTCGAATGGGCAATGATTTTATCATTTCATCATTTTCGAAAATCGCAGCAAAACCAAAGTCAATTAATTTTAAATGCTTTCGATCAATATCATACATCAAATTTTCCGGGCGTAAATCCCTATGAATAATATTAGAATTGTATAAATATTCAATAATGTCAATAAGTTGTTTTGATTCAGTTATTTGCAATGATTTCAATTTCATAGATTTCAAATAATTTTGAAATGATAAAAAATTACCTACAAAAAAAAAATATTAATAAAAACATATTATGAAAAAGATAAGATATTATTTAGATTGATAGTGATATAAAGCTATTATATACGATATATGAAATTCTTCTAATTATTTTTTCATACCCAATCATATATAAATTCATATAGAATTGATTTTATAAATAAAAAATTGACTTAAATCATTTGTTTTATTTTGTTTTCTTTAAATTTTTTCAGCTAAGCTACTATATAACAACATCAAAAAAACATACTTAATTATTATTTTTTTTTTTATTTTCATGGAAGCTAAAGTAATAAATATAACTTTAAGATATATATTAAAGCGTAAACATTCTATTGACAAGAATTAAACTTATTTATTAAGTAATAAATAATTTTTTATATAATATTTTAAAATACAAATAAACACTACGATAATTTATTCACAAAAAGAAGTTAGAAAATTTCTCCAAAACTTTTATTGATGAATAATGATATTGAATAATAAAGAATGTATTAATTTAAGTATGAAATAATATCTGATACGGACTATTAAAAACTTAAGAAATAAGATGAAAAAACAAAAAAATAACCATGATCAATTTTAGAAAAATAAAACTTGGAAAAACAAATTTTATTCATATTCAATAAAAACTTAACATTTTTATTTGAAAATAAAAATGGAAATCATTTTCAAAAAATTTCTACTTGACGATGATCTCTATCTATTAATATTCTACATTTAAAGCTTTTTCTATTTAGGTTTGTAAATTCTTTTGATTAGTTTATCTCAAAGTTTTATTTTTTTGTATAATTTTTTTTTTTTTTGCAATCGATTTCGAATGTAATGATAACATGAAAAAGAAATTTAATAAACAAATATTACCTGTAAGTGGTGTTTGAAAAACATCTTCAAAAAATAAATCAAAATTGTTTGAATTATTTGATTGTTTTAACATTTTTAATATTTCATATTCATTTTTTAAATATTCTCTATATATATCTTTTTTACAAATTTTTAATACTAAAGATCTTGGATCAATAATAGATAGATTATCAACATTTTTTTCTAATAAATAAACCATTGAAGTTAAACCATTTCCTATTCTTGTTTTTATATTAAATTTATCAGCATATAAATAATCATCAGGTTTTACATTTAACATTCTATATTCATAAAAGTTCCAATCCATTGTCAAAAATTTTATAAATATTTTCCATGCATCTCTATTAAAAAGGTATTCTTCTGATTGTTTACCACTTATTTTTGAACTAGTAGACGATGATGATGATTTATGCAAACCAGTTATCATTTCTAATTTATCAGTACTTTGATAATAATGACATAAACTTGAATATGGATCTTTTGTAACATAAAAAAATTTCATAAATTTAATATTAGTTAAAAATCCATAAATTTTTACACGATTTTGTACATCTAATATAAGAGTCAAATAACGTAAGAGTTCTCCTATAGAATCATTGGAGTCAATAGAGTTGGTTAATGCTTTAAATTCACCAACACAAACAATAAAATCTTGTAAAGTTTCATATTCGTTCTTCTTATCAATATTAATATTTTTGAATGTAAAACAATAACCAGGAGCTTTGTTGTCATATACAGTTTTCTGTTTAGGTGAATTGACAAATTTCAATGATGTCGAAGAATTATAACGAGAAAATAATTCTGTTATTGATTTATTAAATAGTTCTTGAATTTTACGTTCTGAAAAATTCTTATTTGATTTTAAAGGATTAAAATATTTTTGGAAAATATTAATCATATCATCATTAACATTATTATTATAATCTACTAAAGATGTAATATTGAAGAATTTCATATAAGGACGTACACAATAACTGTAAAAACCACCATTACAGAATGTTAAATACAAATTTTTATCAATTCTTGATGAATATCGATTGTCTTCTGTTTTCATTCGTTTCCTTTGTTTGTTTGCTTCTGCTAATTCTAATCGTTTTAGTTTTATTTCTTCTAATTTTGTATTTGCATTTGCTGTTTTTTGTTTTTCTTTTTCCAAAGCTATCAATAACGTCAATTGTTCAGTAGTTGGAATGTTCTTTTCATCCATAGTTTTTGTAATTTGTTATTTATCTACAAAAAACAAGAAAAATTATTGTTATAAAAATATTGAAATTACACATTAGTTTGACATGGCCTGTATAAATATCCTATCAAAATTCGATATGACACATATATATATATATATATAAATAAATATAAAGAAAAGAAAGAAAGTCATTATTGTGTTGCAATGATATTCGATTGATTTGTTCTCCATATAGAGAACATAGGAAAAGAGAACACTAGATAATGATCGTTGTAATCGACTTTTAACAAAATATTCGTGAAATGACAATAGAAAATTGTTATTATAATTATGAGAGATATATTTTAATTAACTAATCATATTTTATCGAAAGAATTATATTCGATCTTAAATTAATATATGTTTCAATTTTATTAGAATTATAGTGATTAATTTTTACAATAAAAAGAAAAAAAATTGTGTAAGATATTCTTGACTTAATTTTTCTTATCATTTTTTCTTTAGTTTTTGATAGGAGCCTTGAAATATTTTCATGATAACTATGTACAATAAGTATTATAATCTTTGATTAATTTTCAGCAAAATATTATTTTTATAAAATCAATTGTCATCGATTATTACCTTTTATATCACAAATTTTCATTTACACTGTTCAAATATAATTATATTACTTGAGAATCTCTTTTCCTATCTTGATTTAAAAGATACGATAATTATATTCTTCTCATTGTCATCAATGAGTTCAATATTATGTTATGATGTATAGATGCTCTTTATCTTAGTTAAATTTGTTACTCAACCATTGATATGTATTATATTATTTCTATCTTCATAACTGACTAACTAGCAAACATAGTTAAGTGCCCCTCCCCTCCTCTGAGAAGAGGTTTGAAACCATTCTATTCGATAGAGATCTTGATGAATATCTCTAATATGAATGTCTTAGGTACTTTCGTTTAGATATTAAAAAAAAATGAGAGAATCAAACTTTTTCATTTTTATGCCCTTTTTTTGCTGTAAAAGCTGTACCAATTTTTCCACTTATGTAAGATTTACAAATTAGAATAATCAATTGTTTTTCCCTGATTCGACATGAAGAAGACATTTATTTGTCATAAAATGGTGGCATCTTGAATGTGTTTTGTGAGGTTTTTTGTTGTTTTGAATACTGCGTAATTGTCCGTCAGGAATGTTTCGAGTGCTCACCATATGAGAAACATCTGTATCATCTCGTGTCGTACAAATTAGTCCATAAACAAAATATGCGGTGGTAAATAAAATACTTATGGCATTCTATAAATTGATCGGAAAAGAATGGTTGTCTACCGTATATTTTGTGCAGCTCTATATGAACATAATATGATCTGTAATACTATATAAGTTCCATAGGATAAAATATAATGATCCAGAAATAATGGGAAAAACTTTGAAGCTTTTAACCGCGAACTATTAAGTGACATCACTCGAAGTAAGTCAAATATCATTGGATTAGCTCTTGTTTTGCTTTTATTGCATAATAAAAGCCTCTTTAGTTCTGCTAGCTGACATATATCAATAACTATTCTTGATACATAGTCAGGAAGGAATGTAATACTATTATTCGTGATAGATAAATGTCTGTTTCATGTTTCATTCTGTTCATTTTTGATGTTCTTTTTTAATGAAAAAAAATTGATTATTCTAATTTGTAAATCTTACATAAGTGGAAAAATTGATACAGTTTTCATAGCAGAAAAGGGCATTAAAATGAAAAAGTTTGATTCTCTCATTTTTTCATATATAAACGAAAGCATCTAAGACATTCATATTAGAGATATTCATCAAAGTCTCTATCGAATAGAATGGTTTTAAACCTCTTCTCAAGGGAGGAGAGCATTTAAATATGTTCCCTCGTAAATATAAAAAATTGTGTTCATTAATTAAAATATCTTCTTATTTTTCTACAAGAATTTATCAAAATATAACAACTAATTTTTTGAATTAGATATTTTTAAAAAATAATAAAACAAAAACAGCAATTGTATTCTGTTCATTCTTGAATAGTTTTCTCTAGAGTTATCACTCTCTGTGATATATATATATATATATATATATATATATATACACTATTGATTATGAAAAGATTGATTCTATATAATATGAGTGAAAAATTTTAACATAAAGGGTGTCACATAAGTTCTGATCCTGTCATCAAATTTTTTTTCCTATACGTTTCTACATTCGAAGAAACTACGATTTTCAGTATTTATACTAGATGTTTAGATCTATCCTACACTAGAATTTCACGTTTCTACTCATTTCTATATTACAGTGATACAAGTATCACTAAAAATAAGAAAAAAAAGTTGACGTATTATAAGAAATGTCTAATTATCTTTAATTCTTGGTTCTAATGCAACATGAATATTCTATTCGAGAAGACAATTATAAATCGAAATTCGGTTTATCTAGTAACGGAAAAGCTGCTGAACATAGATCCTCTATAAACTGGATGCAATTTTTCTCATCCATAATTGTTGAAAAATTCTTATTATTTTTGATGATGCTTGTATCATTGTAATAGAAATAATTAGGAACGCGAAATTTTAGTATAGAGTAGATGTAAACATCTTGTATAAATACTGAAAATATGCGTCTCTTCGAATGGAGAAACGTATAAGAAAGAAAAAAAAAATTTGATGACAGGATCAGAACTTATGTGACACCCTTTATATCATAGATTATACTCATCAATATAGTTGATAGGAATTTTGTAAATAAATATTTGATTTACAGTCAAATTAGAGAAATTCCAGAATCTTGATAAAAACATCAAACCTTTCTGAATGCGTTTTTTTTTTATTTTGCTCATTATAAGATTGGACAAAAAAATGATGCATCCTTATTGAGATAATACATTTCTTCTTGAACGTTGGCTAAAATTTTACAAAATAGATTCGTCTTTGGAATTTTTTAATCATTGAAAGTGGTTTTGTATTAAAGATACAAATATTTTTAAATCAATATCTAAATCTACACAAAAAATCTTAGATTTCATCACGTAATGTTTCCCATTAAAATTTCATCAATATGAAACTATTGGACAAAACTATGATAACAAAATGTCTGTGTGACCTCATGAAGAGGCCAATGTGTGGAACTAACAATCTCTGACTATATTATAAATTTATAGTATATTGTCAGAGCGGTTAAAATAATTTATATTAAAAAATCCTCAGACAAATGAATAAATCGAAATGATAATAATTTTTATAGTTGATACACATGCTCGAAAATTTTATCATTTCGAAAATGTTTGCATTTAGAATTACTATTCTATAAATTTATTTGATTCATTGAACATCATTATACTGAAAAAACTTATTTGTATTGTCAGATATATTTTCAGTACAAAATTTCTTTCCTTCTAATGATTATATATGATAGATGCTATGGGAAGTAGCAAATATCATTTTATTCTTCGTTTCGTCAATTCAACCATCATATTAACCTGTTATACATATTGATTTAACCTTTTAGTAAGCTTTCGAGCACATCATTCTTTCTCCCGATAAATTTTGTAACATATACTGTTGAGTTTTGCTTAAACTCAGAATTCAATTAGTTCATAATCTTCTATGTTCATTCTATTCTGACTCTGCTAGAACAATAATACCATCACCCTACTAATTAACACCTAGAATAATATCTTTTCGCTACATTAAACACCAAAATCCACAATATTTACACTAGTTAGAATTTACAGTAAGAATCTTATATTCATAGAATGTTTGGAAAAATTCTAGAAAGTTCCAGAATGATCTAAGTGCTGTTATTACTGATGTATCTTTTCTCATTGCTATGGAAACGTATTAAATAGTTTCTGGCTTTCCCCTTGAGTGCTAGAGCTTAAGAAGGAGGCGGGAAGAACCGTAAAAACCTTGATTTAAATTTCCACTCGCTACATTTTCTTCGAAAATATATGTAAGTTTTACAAAAAGATGAGGAAAAGTAGATGTAAAATTTTGATGGGAAACATTGCGTGATGGGTGTGGGTGTGGGTGTGGGGTGGATGGGTGTGGGTGTGGGTGTGGGGTGCGTGAGTGTGGGTGTGCGTGTGAATACGGACAATAGAGAGAAGACCCCCACACCACACCCTCTTCCCTCTGTTGTCCATATCCACACTCACACCCACACCCACACCCTCTTCTATCTATTGTCCATATCCACACCCACACCCTCTTCTCTATTCTCCATATCCACGCCCACACCCTCTTCTCTCTGTTGTCCATATCCACACCCACACCCACACCCACACCCACACCCTGTGGGTGTGGGTGTGGGTGAGACGCCAAATGGGTATCACACCTACACTCCACACCCACACCCACACCCGCGCCCACACCCACACCCACACCCGCACCCACACCCACACCCACACCCACACCCACACACCCACACCCACACCCCACACCCACACCCCACACCCACCACCCACACCCACACACAGTTTTGGCTGTGGGTATG